TCCGTATCTGCTTTTCTTGTAATGTTCTTGTGTGATTTTAGCATCAGGGTTATGGAAGTGTCATAAACAAGTGGGGAAGTATATCCTCTTCTACTTTAGAGAAAAAGTATAACATTGGTATTATTTCTTCCTTATGAGTTTAAGAGAATTCACTAGTGAAGTTCTTGTGGGAAATTCTTAAATTGTGAACTCAGTTTCTTTAATGGACATAGGATTCATCAGATTTTCTATTTCTTCCTGTATCGGTTTTATTTGACTGTGTTTTTCAAGGAACGAATCCATTCACTTAGCCTGTCAATTTTACTGGCATAAAGTTTTAAATATTTCTTTGTTATTCTCTTAAGGTCTGCAGGCTCAGTGCTGACCTCCCATCTCTCACTTTTGACAGTGATCATTTGTGTTTTCTAGCTTTTTTTCTTGGTAAGTCTTACAAAAGTTTTATGAATTTTGTTAGTCTTTTCAAAAACCAACTTTTGTTTTTGTTGATTTTCTGTGGTATTAATTTTCTGTTTCATTCATTTCTAGTCTTATTCTTACTACTTCCTTTTTTCTATTTTGGATTAATTTACTCTTTTTGGTCTATCTTCTTAAAACAAAAGCACAGAGCATTAGTTGTACAGCTTTCTTCTCTTCTAATATAGGCATTTTATATAAATTTCCCTCAAAGGACTACTTTAGATGTAGCTCATAAATATTTTTGTTGTGTTTTCAGTATTATTCTGTTCAAAATATTTTCTAATTGCCCTTGTGATTTCTCTTGGTCCCATGGGTTCCTTAGATATGTGTTGTTTAATTTCAAAGCACTTAAAGATACTCCTAGATATTGTATTTCTATGGACTTTTAATTTAATATAGTGCAATCAAAGAACAAACTCTATATTAATTTTGTCCATCTACTTCTATAGGTTCAGTTTAAGGATTCTATAATTTAAAAGCTAAAACAAAGGCAAACAATCTGCTAATGACTGCCTCAATAAAACTAGTGTATTAATTTCAATTTCACACCAGATATTTATTACAATACCCCATTTCATCAGTTTCCCTATTCTGTATTTTCTGTTATTCTTATAAGAAAGAAGAGTTATACAACTGTAGCCTAAGCAGAAGTTAATACCTTAAGAAAATTTTAAAAGCTAAGAAAAAGATTAAGAAAATGTAGCCAGTTTCAAATTAACTATCCTCTTACTATTTCCTCTTACTATGGAAAATACATTCTAAGCACAATGGTAAAAGATACAACAGGAATGTGTTACTATTGAGGCACAAGTTTCCAAAATCAAATGTTTTCTAGAAAAACACGCACATACACACATCACGGAAGTCCCACATCACCAACAGAGTTGAATTCTAGAATGGTTTCTACTCAAGCATTTGTCCATGACTGATGAATTAGATTACAAATCCCATTACTTAATCTCATCTCACCAGGCAATCTTACCTTAAAGTACATTGCATTTCTGTTTCAGAATGTGTAGATAAAACACGAAAAATGTATTTGTCAACTAATAGAGAAAAACTATCTCCAGGATTCAACCAGCGCCATAGGTTTGTCTTCAATGGTAAGAGCTGGCTCTTCTCAGAAGACTGATAAAAACATGGATTTGTGTGAATCTATCAAAAAAAAAAAAGAAGTGATGTTATAACTCAAAATTATGACAAAAATAAAACTAAAATGAACTGATATAAAATTTTAGTATCAAAACAATTTTAAGTATAAACTTGGACTTAGAAGTCTAATAAATCCAGCACTTGTAAGTACGATAATTATTATCTACATGTAAGAAAGAAAAATCGCTTTACTATACCCCCCATTTCTCCAGGAATCAAAGGAGAAAGCAAAGTTATCAATTAACTGGTTAAAAGATACTTCTTTTTTGCTTAAGACAGATGACAGGACATTGGGAAGAGAAACATGAAGAATTCGCAGTCCAGAAACTGAGTCCCGCAAAATTCACTAATCCCTTGAAACTGGCAAGCTTCTTTTCTGCTCAGTTTCCCCTAATAATTTCTTACTATGATTAAGAAATGAGAAACTATGGGAAGGAGAATTTTGATCAAATCTCTCAGGCAAACAACACAGCTTTTTTTTTTTCCAGTCCTCACAGAGGGATTTTCTTGTTTTGTTTGAATGAAACTCCCACTATGAAGATCACCACCCATATTCAAATTGCAAGAGGTAAATATGTCTCGATGTCAAAAACTATTACAATGGCCACTATCTTGAATTCTGTTTCCAATGATTACTTCATGTTAGCAAAGATAAAGAGAGTTGCCTCCATAACTAAGCTCTACTGAAAGGTACCTTAAAAATTCTAACTAGAGCTGAAATTGACCATATCCAAAAGAAATGGAACAATGATTAAGTAGACATGAAACAAAACTTTGGAAAAATAATAGAATACTATAAATACTTTATACCAATGTATTTGTAGATATGGCCAAAATTGACAATTATCTTGAAGAATATGTACCAAATTGACTTTAAAAAAAGCACATATGTTTTCATGTATGTGTGATCTGTTTAAAAATATTAGAAAAGAAAAGGAGATTGAATTATACTTATATTTTAAGAATATAATCAATAATTAAAATCTAATTCTTCTCAAAACCAGACTTAAATGGATTTAAAGATTTTTCTTAATATTCAAACTCTTCCCCAAACCAGAAAAGATGGAAGGCTCTGATTCCTTCAAGGACGTTAGGTTAACTTTGATTCCAAAGCAGACATGAGCAGAAAAAATCCTGGCAAACCCAAACCCACAGTGAATAAAAGATACAAGCTACCAATATGAGAGGCACGTCTGAAGTATCCACATACTTTTTCACATATCCATGGGATTATAGATGTGAACTGAAATAGATTATGCGATGGTCTTAGAAGTGGTGCAAAGGATACCATTATCCCTGAAGAACAGGAACTAAAATACATATCAATCTTCTATAGCTTTCTCTTGGAGTTATCATTAAATATTAAAGAAAGATTGATATGTACAAAAAAAAAGAGAGAGCTCCTGTTCTTTTCAGTGCTTTTTTTTAATTTGGAAAAAAAATTTTAACAAAATGAGTTGTGGAAAAGCTATTTTACTATTTTATAGCTACTTTTTTACAAGTGCATTCATAATTTCAAGGGAAGAAAAACAATCACAACTCAGAAATTTTACTGTGCAATAGAAAAAATACAGTCACCCAAAGATGCATATTTTGAGAATCAACACCAAATAGCCAAAAAAAAAAAACTTTTGCAACTTATATGTACTTATAGAACTACCCCCTCAATCATCCAAGAACCAAAGAGTAAGTTTTTATTAAAATGAAATAAAAGCGTTAACAGCTATGAACTCACCCTGTGGACATAACTAACCACTGGCGATACAGTCATTTACAGAGAACATCATCATTTTGCCTTTATAATGCATTTTCTCCCTGCTGATACCAGACTGTAGATTAAATTTAAATGACACATAAAAAAGCTAACATCATCTCCTTGTGAGCTAACATTATCTGCTCATGCACAATTTCCAAGAACTGGTAAGAGCCAGAGCCTTTTCTAAAGGGAAATATCAGAAGGAAGAAAGACAAATTCATCCAATTTAAAAATACAAATTAGTTACTGCCCTAATTGCGTTCATCTATCATTGTCTAAGCTACTTTTTTATTTGGTTGGATCCCTAATTTGAGGGAAACAAGAAAAATATCTAACCACTTAAAGTATACAGCATACAGAAGGGATCACTGTAACAAAATATTTGCTATATTCATTTATATAATTTTACATAGTTTTTTAAACTAAAACTTCTGTCTCAACACTTTGTTACAATTGTATATGTAGCTTGCTTTAGCTAAGGGATCAAATAATTTCTGATTGTTTAGGGAACAAAGAATAAATGATATTTATCACGTGTTATAAATAAAATGAATAAGCTAGAAGTCATTTGTCCATCTCATACTCATTATTTTTTTTATTTTGCCTAAAATTTTTTATTGAGATATAATTGACATATAATTTTACACTGGTCTCAGGTGTACAACAGAATGATTCAATATAAATATACACCTTGAAATGATCACCACAGTAAATCTAATGACCATCACCACACAATGTTAACTTTCAGGATTTACTCTCTTGGCAACTTTCAAGTCTGTTGTATGATATTATTGACTGTTGTCATCATGCTGGACATTACATCCCCGTGATTTATTTATTTTGTAACTGGATGTTAATACCTCTTGACCCGCCCCTTTCCCATCTTGCCCAGCCCCCAAAATCCTTCCCTCTGGCAACCACCATTCTGCTCTCTGTATCTATGGTTTTCCCCAGGCCCATTCTTTTTTTTTTCCCCCATACTCATAATTTCTGATCTTACACTTCTATTAACAAAATTAGTTTGAGAATCTCTCTAAATTTCTCTAAATTGCACCTGGAAGGCACAGCTACAATAAGTAGTGGACTAAATAAATAAGTCTATTTCAAGGGGATAGACATTTTATTGAAACTATACTGATATAAACAAGAGACCAAGCATTATATAAAGCAGAGAACTTGTGCATATATCACTAAGTCCAAGAAGCAGCTTTCCTTCAACTAATATAATGTGAAAATAATAATTCTTGGAATATAAAATTCAAAACCCAGTTACATATTTTTCTAGAAGAACAATCAAATTCTAGTACTAGAGCTGCACATTTCCTTTTTAAAATAAACTTGTTCATGTCTCACAACGTTTGGTCGTTCGGTATTACAGAAATAACTGCAGTACATCGTAATAGTCTTTACATCTTTTTCATGATGTAAGTGTTCCATAATAATGTTTTAGAGACATAATACATGTAAGATATTATGCACAGGTTCACCACCCAGTTTAAGAATATTACCATTAGTTTTGATGCTCCCTGTGTCTTTTCCTATCCATTCTCTTCTCAGTTCCCTCAGACGTAATTATTCTGATTTTTGTGTTTAATTACTTCTTCGATTTTCTTTATGGTTTTACCACCTATGTTTATGATCTTGAATATATTGTTTATTTTGTAGGATTTGTAATCTTATAAAAATGGAGCCATACTATACATATTCTTCCAATGCTTGCGTTCATCATTCAGTGCTATGTTCCTGATTTTAAACCATGTGTTTTCAGCTTTCACTGTAATGTATCCTCACTGGTGTACTACATTTCATTCAATGAATATATCCCAGTACATTTATCAGTTTCACCGTTGATGGAAATTTACCTTGCTTCCAGTGTTTTGCTGCCCTATAAACAATTCTGCTCTCCAGGCTCTTGTACACAGCTGTTGGTACCTGTGTGTGTGTGTGTGTGTGTGTGTGTGAGGTCTGACTTGGATGGAATACGAGCCTTCATCTTTAGGAACTAACGTCACACTATTTTCCAGAGCGGCTATGCCATTTAAGCTCTCACCCACAGTTTATAATACTCCACTTGTGCTATATCCTCACCAACACTTGAAATTGTTAGACTTTCCATTTTTGCTCATCTGTTGAGTGTGGAATGATATCTCACTGTGGTATCATTTATTTCTCCATTTAATAAGGAGGCTGAGAATCTGCTTTTCATGTTTAGTAACCAGTCGGGTTTCTCCTTCTGCGATGTGCCACTAACGTCTTCAGCCCATTTTCCTACTGGATTATCTTTTTCTCACTGATTGAAGGCATTTGCTAGAAGTTTTGAGTATCATTCCTTTGTCAGTTAATTGCGTTTTAAATATCTTCTCCCTATTGTACTTTTCATTTTCATTAGACTGTCTTTTGACAAGCAACGGTTCTTAATTTCAATGTAACTGGCTGGTTTTTTTTTATTAATTTATAATTATTTTACAATGTTGTGTCAAATTCCAGTGTAGAGCACAATTTTTCAGTTATACACGAACATATATATATTCATTGTCACATTTTTTTCTCTGTGAGCTACCATAAGATCTTGTATATATTTCCCTGTGCTACACAGTATAGTCTTGTTTATCTACGCTACAATTGTGAAATCCCGTCTATCCCTTCCCACCCTCCGCCCCCTTGGCAACCACAAGTTTGTATTCTATGTCTGTGAGTCTGTTTCTGTTTTGTGTTTATGCTTTGTTTGTTTTTGGTTTTGTTTTTGTTTTTTTTTAGATTCCACATATGAGTGATCTCACATGGTATTTTTCTTTCTCTTTCTGGCTTACTTCACTTAGAATGACATTGTCCAGGGACATCCATGTTGCTGCAAATGGTATTATGCTGTCATTTTTTATGGCTGAAACTATTCATTGTATAGTTGGAGTTCATTGTATTCCATTGTATAAATATACCACATCTTCTTTACCCAGTCATCCATTGATGGACATTTAGGTTGTTTCCATGTCTTGGCTATTGTAAATAGTGCTGCTATGAACATTGGGGTGCAGGTGTCATCCTGAAGTAGGGTTCCTTCTGGATATATGCCCAGGAGCAGAATTCCTGGGTCACACAGAATGTAACTGGCTGTTTTCCAATCTTTTTTTTTAAACAGTTTCTGCTTTCTATATCTTAATTAAAAATGTTTCCCTACTCCAAGGTCATAAAGGTTTTTTTCCTATTATTTTATAGCTTTGATTTTCACATTTAATCTACCTGGAATTGACTTTTGAGTATGGTGTGAGGTGGGGGGGGGTCTAATTTTTTTTTTCCTGCCCAAACAACAAACTGTCCTAGTACAGTTTACTGATAAAAAGTCCTCTTCTCCACTGACAGGTAATGCCAGCCCTGGTCCAAATCAAATCCCCACATACTTAAGCTTGAACCTAAGATTGCTTTCAGTTCTAAAAGTCTATTCAACTGAAAGCACTAAACCTTCCTATGAAGATAAATCAACAGTTAGTCTGAATTTCAAGAACTTTTTAAAAGAAGAGAACACCAAATGGCAAAAGAATCCTAACTTGGAAAATATGATGGAAAAAAGAAACTGAGTTCTAATTCCCATTCAACAACTTGCTGCCTATGTAGAATTAGACATTCTAAGTTGTCAGAAATAATGGTACCAATGACACAAAATTGTAAGCTGACTATACTTCAATAAAAAAATATATAAAATAATAATAATGATACCAAGAATAGGGTAAAAATGTTTACATTCTTTCCACGTGTATATTAAGTAATATTTTTAAAAATATAAACAAAAGCATAATTTATATAAATAAACTTTATCATCCCAAATTTTAGTTTTATATCTATAATCTAATGAGGAGTTTTTGCTCCAATTTCTAGAATTGCTCTTCTAATTTCGCATCTACCACAGTTTGGTGCTCAAAAGTCACCTGTTGCCTGCACATAAGTACAGTCTACTGAAAGACCAAGAAAAGGTAAAGAATGTTTTCTAAAAGGTGTCTTCTTTGAACATTGTTAAACTCCCATTCAGAAATCTGACCCACTTCATAATGGATAAAGTTCAATTCAAAGAGAGAATTTTTCACTAACAAAACCACCTTTGAGAATACTTATTTTATATTATCAATACTCTTTTAAATAGTCAGAGAAGTTCCAAATGTATCTGAATATTTTTCATCCAAGTATAGACACAACTCCAATTAGTATTTTTATTAATAAGCCAATTTGGAAAATACTCTAGGCATAGAAATCTATTAAAGTAAGCCTATAACATTTAAGTGACTCTGGTTGCTACCCCACCCCTCAAAACCCAATCATTAGTTATGGACTTTCTTATAGAATCTTACTCGTAAAAAACAAAATCATAATGTATACATGAACTGGTAGTCACCTTTGATTAAAATTCTAAGCATATAAATGTAGCACCACCCTATGGGGGAAAAAGGTGGTGATTTAAATAGGTTAGACCTTTAACTCCCAATTATCTTTTGGCAATAAGAAAAATATACCCTGACATTAATTCCCTGTTTCCATAACCTTTAAAATAAGCCCCTCTAATCAGGAGCTCCAATCAGGTGAGAGAGAAAGAGTTAAAGTAAATTATTAATAACGTATTTACCGGTTTGATTCGAAGCTGACCACCCACCACCTCAAGAATGGCATGTCTTCTGGACACTCTCTTGTCTGTTATCTACAGGGGGGAAAAAGTAAAAATTTCAAACACAGCCACTTCCCTAAAAAATAAGAACAATGAGAATAACAACAACAAAAAACACAGCAATGTTTCTGAAATAAGTGGACTAGATATGAAATCTATTATTCATTCAGCAACTGTATATTGAAATGACTGTCCTCACCGAACAAATAATGAGACAACTCAGAGATTAAGGGACCTGCCCAAAGTCACAGAAGAATAAATGGCAGAACAGTGACTCAAGCTTGGAATCTAACAGATCCCAGAACCTTTCTTGATAGTTTCCATTCAAGACAGACATTTAGTGGGGATGCTTATCAATAAAACTCATAAAATCTGAAAAAAAACTATATAAATATGTACTTATCAGTACACATTTCAAACACAGGAAATATAAATTTGTTACAATGACAAGAGGTCTTAAAAAGCAGCAGTCTGGTAAATGGGAGAGGAATGACTACCAGCTTTGGGGTCAGGCAGACCCAGGTCAGGCAGACCTGCATTTGAGCTGAGGGCCATCAGCAGCAGAGAGCACAGGAAGGCAGGAGGGGGAGCAGTGAAAACCAAGCACTGACAGTGAAGAAATTTTTTTAATATTTATTTGCTTCCTGTTTTGAGCCAAGTGTTCTACTTACGCCCACAATCACTTCTGCAGAGCGAAGTTTAACAATTGCTTACACTTTATAAATGTTGAAATTGCCAATCAAGCCTTCCCTGCACGGCTATTAACATAATACTTAAGATCACTGTTGCAATTTGTGGCTGATATGTAATGAAAACATTTTAATCGCCAACTTTACTTAACACCACAATTATCTGGCTTATCTCTTGGTCACCTGAATATCTATCACTTCA